ATGGGTCATATATATATGTGTGTATATATATACAGAAAGAGGAATAATGCAATGAATATAATATAAATTGAAACATTTCATTATTCTCCTGCTGTTTCTGGGTTGTTAATTCTCACGCCTTTAAATCAATTTATAAACTGTAAATAACGAACTCTGACTATTTTGGCCACAAAATAATAATAGTGATGATAGATAGTAGTGCTTTTTCAAAATCGTGACATCAGACACGTAATACGAATGAAAGAAGCTCAGATTCTACCGAAACGCTTGAATCACTACAGTGCCTTTATGCCTTAGAGACCTATGTATTATGCGCTGTACAAATCCCACTTATTATTATTATTATTATTATTATTATTATTATTATTATTATTATTATTATTATTATTATTATTATTATTATTATTATTATTATTATTATTATTATTATTATTATTATTATTATTATTATTATTTCAAGTTTGAACCCGGTGGAGGCTGACTTTTTTCTTTCAGATTCTCTTGTTACGTTTCAATTTATACATATACCTGTATAATATATACCTGTATAATATGTATATATATATATATATATATATATATAAGCTAGGCCGATATTGAAACGTAACAGGAGACAATAAAAAAGACAATGACTAGATGACAACTACTTGGTAGATTTAAAACACAAAATGTATTAAAGACACGCCATGTATTTTGACAAGGACACGTCCTTCCATGTCTTCTTCAGCATGTGTAACAAACGAAATATACAAACATCTTGATTTAATATAAGTGTAATACGATCAATGCCGTAGCCATCTATTGGAACAGTTGGGACAGTCCCACACAATTTTTCTAATGGGTTCACAAAGAATGGGTCCACATTTTTTAAAAATGGGTCCAAATTATGCAGTTTTATGCATAAAATGAGTCCACTTTTTAAAAAATTATTCCAGATTTCTCATATTTAGCCTAAAATGGTTAAAATTTTAAATAAATGGGTCCACATTTTTCATATTTTTGCGTAAAATGGGTCAACTTTTAAGAAAATGAGTCCACATTATTTACCAATACGCGTAAAGTCGGTCCACCCTGATACCACCCAAACTGTTTTAAAATCCTTGCCACGGCATTGAATATGATTGATCGACAATATAAATAAAATAAAATATAACTGATTTTCATGATTTCAGCATAGGCCTTACAAATCTCCAGTCACCCTAAAGAACTAATAAACCAGTATAGTGCCTATTATTTACTATAGACCACATTTTCAAATGAACTCTCAACGGTATGAGCTACCTTTTTCAAATACCATAGTTCATGTGCCCAGTACTGTATGTGGCTGAAGTATTCATGAGACCAGTAAAGGAGAATCATTGACAGCAATTCCCGCCATTAATGATGCTTCATTTTCATCCGCAGGTTTGGTACGAAAAAGATGTCCTATTTGCCGACTATGTATTATTCCATTACTGTTACTGTTGATATATAAATAAACAAACGCTTCACTATAACATTATTTGTTGAATCGTGTTTTTAAACACACAAAAAAGTTCCTACAACGTAACGTAATTATATTAAATATACAGTAAATATAAATATTGATGATATTTCTAAAATTTAGCATTTACTTAATATCTTAAACACACACATACACACACACAAACCCACACATGTGAAGGGGTTACAACCGAAGACATTGAAAAAAAAAAACCCTTACAGTGGTGACATAGTTAATCTTCGTTTTTTATGTAAAAAATATGTGTAATGCTATTTCTGTCAGTAATCAAGGGATGTTTAGCAACAACCCTAAAATTTTGTTTAAATACTATTGATTTTAGCAAGATTATTTAATGAAGTCTAAATTAGGGAATTAAAATAGTAAACTCTGATTGATTTTTTTTTGGATGATTAATTTGAACTAGAAATTTTCTTTCGTACAGCAAAGATATTAATTTGTTGTGGCACACACACACACACACACAAACACACATAGGACTTTGATAAACAGAAATAGTAGATGCACAACATACATCATCGAAATTATGATGTATTCTGCTTAGACGTACCATATTGTTGTTCCATAAATACCGAGTTCATAGGTCATCTCACGTAAAGTTACGGGTTCCAAAGGTTTTACTGAATATCCGTTGATCTTTACTGGTTCTACCTTTTCCATCAAAATTAATGTTGCACGTTCTGGCGAGTCCTTCAATTCGATGAGCTTTTCTTTAATATATTTCCCAAACAGGTTGTTACCTTAGAAGATAGTAAATAAATAGCTTATTTTTTAAAGAACGAGTCTGATAATAGTGGTTCATAGGCCTACTTCAATATGGTACAAATGTCTTACCAAGACAGCTTCATTTGATGTTTCCTGAGATAAGTATTCTTTAATTATTATTTAAACACACACAGTAGTTTTTACCTCCACTTTCCCGGTTTGGCTTCAGGACAAACATTTCTGGATTTTCAATACCGAGATCCGCAGCATGATCTCCTTTCGGCCCCTAATGTACATATACATATATAAAGCATTATTTAAAACATTATGGAATATATCCTTAACTGTGTGGTTCTGTCAACTTATATTAGAAAGATTACAAAATTAGTCCAAGCTGCAAAATATTAAATTTTTTTATAGGTTTTATTTAAAGTTGTTGAAAATTATTAATATAAAATAGAAAGAGTGTAGAACATGTTAAACTCCATTGGTAACTCACTGGATTAAGTGAATATAATCTGCAGAATGTATTGCGAATCCGAACAACTGCTTCCGGGTCATCAATGTACTTTTCAATAACACCTGGTTCGGAAATTGCTTGCTGAACTGTTTTCGTTCCCGCCAAATGACCACCTATTGATGGACATTTTATGGCGCATGACTGCTCAGCTAAAAGTCTCCCTTTCCATTCCTACCATTCAAAATTATGATGTGTCGTATACTGTACTATAATGAATATTTATCATACCCAAAAATAATAATCACACAACATGTTAAACTGCTGCAATGTTACGTTGATTGAATTATTTTTTAACTTGATTTTTATTTAATCGTTAAATTTATTTTTTATCAATAAATATTTCTTTCTAGCAATTTTACTCATATGAAAACAGAGTATTGGAAAGTATACATTCCAGAGGTGTATCCAGGATTTTTTCTGAGTGGGTCGTGATCATAATTTTTGGACCTTTTCGCAATGAAATAACAGCAAGATGTGATTAAAATGTCAATACAATTTGCTTGAAAGCGGATGGTAGGCTCAGTTTCAGAATTGCTGGTATTGAGATAGATAACGTCACGCAATTGGCAAGGTCTTTGGACTCTTCGCTGGTACCTCATCAATGCTTATTCATTGTCATTGTGAAAGGCCCTAGAAAAATGTGGATCTTTGGCGGGGGGGGGGGTGTCGTGCGACCTTCCCGACCCCCCCCCCCTTTTCGCATACACCCATGCATTCTGTTAGCATATTGCATAACTGTTCATCAATATATAAAGAAACATATATTTAAGCCTATATGAAATGGTATATAGAAGAAACTCAAGAAAAATATATGTTTAGTCATTGTTTGAGCAATAATCCTTAAAATACCTACCACCTTGGTCTTGTAAAACTCTGGTTTATATCCCGTACGATAATATACAACGGCTATTTCACATCCATCACTGAAACAAAGATCATCATTATATTTACGATAATTCACAGAGATGTACCGGTAAATGATAACAAATTTTACGATGGTGGTGAAAAAAAATAAAGGTACAATAATCGTTTGCAATAATTGTTTGATTTAATCTTTTGCCAGAAAAAAAAATCCACTAGGTGATAGAATAAGCTATACCGGTAGTTTATGATGCTCTTCAAAACTATGCATTATTCTAAATCACAGTAACAGTGTTTTTTATGCATCCTTTTTTTTTCTAAAGCTGAGATTTGTAAATTTCATATTATTAATTATAATTAATTGTATGCTGTTTTCTGAGTAGTGCACCTTATACCTCATAAATCACATATTATAAGGCCTACATTATGCCTGTAACATGTAGGTTAGTTGTTTTATGGTTGTTGTTCAAGACTAAAATGCATTACCTCTTTGGAAATGTTAGGAATAAAAGTGTATGGGCTAAATAAATTAAAAACAGGATAACACCCAATACGGGTAAGTAATAGGATGATCACTAAAATGCAGTAAATAAATATCGGATATTTTATATAATTTTGATAGCATATTTACATTCTTAGTTGCTGATCGTCTGTCAGATTGGCGCGCATTCCAATATCTCCAAGGCTCATCTTCATGAAGGGTATTCGAGGATTAATTTCATGAATGCTGAACTCAATATGACGATGATTGATGCGGGCCAGATCTGCCGGCTCGGTGACTAGCAAGACAGACGCACTGAGAATAATATGATAGTAGTTTATTAATTAATTATTAATTAAAACTTTACATATTGAAATTGGGTTAAATAAATGGGTCTTAATTTGCTAAAAATAAAACCAATAGAGTTTCATTTAGTGAACAAAAGTGATATGAAAGTAATAAACTGGTTTGGTGGTTATCCATAATTATTGGTGATGTCACCAATATTTTAGCCTTTCGTACAATGTCGAAAATATGAAAACATGTCATTTTATTCAATTATTTATTTACTTATTTAAAAAAATGTAGGTATATTTAACAGAATTTAGAATACCTAGGTAAAGAGAACACGAACTAATATTATAAATTTGTTGGTATGCTTATACCTATATTTCTTTTTCTTTTTATTCAAAGCGATTTAAGATCTACTTCACCATATTGCATTACAACTAAGTTCTATGGAATACTTACTTTGGCTGGCCGTACACCTCCCATGCCCGTACAAGAGAAGTGGCTATTCCTTCAAGACTCGTGCTGTCTGGAACTTGGTTCGCTTCTTTGTACTTCCCTGCTAACCTTAGAGTGTATCTGCATGAAATAATTTGGGTGAAAATCTAATGATCGCTATCATGTAAAATGAAAAGTATGGTATGAAAAAAAATTCCATGATCGCTGTTTCTGATTGTTCTATGTAAGGCCTACTATACATATATAAAATATAACTAATTTCATTAAAGAAATAGCTAACCTATGAAGAAGTGGCATAAGTGCTGCTCCTGCAGCCATTCCAGCAGCAATCGTATTAATTTCAATCTGCTTAAATTTCTGCTCATTACTATCCAACATGTAATCGCATCTGATTATGTCAAGTGTTCCTCTCTGAAATTCCAGGTTTTCAATATGTAAATGTATATACGGTAATTAATCAATCAATTATCAAAATTATGATTTCAATCAGAAAATTTACAAATCAAAAGATATTTAAAAGAGGTATGACAAAAAATAACAAGTTTGCTTTATATTCATTTTATTGCATTTAATGCACTTTGAGTATTATGTTATTTTGTTATATTAATGCAAGTAAACAAGATTCGAATATCGTTGACTTAACTATTTTTTACATACATTCTGTTGTTAAGAATTTTTACTGGAAGTCATTAAAATCACTCACGTCCTTAGTTTCTTTTTGATGAACCTTATGGTAAATCTTAAGCAAATTTCTTGTAAACTCATCATACTTAACCGAACTGATGAAAAAAAGCAAAAATGTATAATTTAATTATCTGTTTATTATACAACGTATACTACAGGTTATTTGTTTTTCGATATGACACGCCTAGAAGCTGCTTATGTATTATGTGCTATATAGGCCTAAACTTATTATCGTCAACATCATCATTTATATCATAATCATCATCATCACCGTCATCCTCATCACCGCCATCAGCATCATCATCATCATCATGAAACTCATCATCATCATCATCATCATCGATCAGTACTTTTTAAAAGCTTTTAGCTAAGGTTCTTTTTAGGCCTCATTTGCCACAAGAGGGCGAAGATGTGTTTTGAGAGGGGGGGGGAGAGGGCACCTCAACCCCACATTTGGTTGGGGCTGAGGTGCAAAAATTTGAGGAAATAGTGCCGGAATGACACTCTTATATAGTGAAAGTCATTATCATAGCGTCACCATCATCTTTTATCAGCGATATCCGGCCATCATAGAGATATACCGTAATTAATCTGTGTTGTACCATAGAAAATAAAACTTAATTGTCTTTGATGTATTTACTTTAGTTTACCTACTTTGTGTGCCGAAAATCTTATACTTTCTCTAATTATAAAAGCACGTGCACTCGAGTCGAGTATTATAGGTAATTCACACGTTAGTGATACAGGTATCTTACTATAATCATGGAGGTATAAACATATTTTATACCTCCATGCTATAATATAAGATGTTCATTACTGTGCTCAGGCCTGTACAGCTCTTTTTCGTTAAAACCTGGATCATTTATGCAGTTTATTTCAACTAATTTCAGGCATCATGTTTACTTATGAAATTACATCGCGATCGAAACATTGGGGAACCAACACCCCCTTAAAAATATGTGGGGGAGGGGGACGTGTCCTCAGTCTCCCCCATGATCTGCGCCCATGCATTTCCATCAAGAGTAAACTTCTTGAGGTGTCTCCACTCCGTCTGTGTGAAAACGGAGTGCGAGTGAAAATAAAATATGAGAATCAATTCTCACCTTTTTAACACGCTACATATGAAATCATAATCTTGGCTAACAAGGTACATCAGTTTGTTGAAATCAAGTTGAGCTTCTTTCAATTTCTCGAAATGGTGCTGAGGTATAGGAGACGGCGCAAGCATAAATGAGATATGAGTGACAACACTTTCGTTGATAACATCGCCTTTGATTGGCTCAACGAGACCTTGAGTAAACGCAAAATCTTTGGCTTTTTGAATGACTTCATCAAGACGATCATTGGTGAAGGAAAGCAGACCTACACTTGTCATTTTGTATTTGTGATTCTGTCAGATTAAAACTAATAGTTCACGTTTTACCTGAAATGTTTTTTCTTCCTTTTCTTTTCTTCCTGCCAAGGCATTGAATAGATCGTATTTACATAAATCTGTTTATAAATTCGATTATTTTCAGCGTACTAACGCCAGCGTATTGTACGGTATCATTAATTTGACATCTGGTCCTTTAATTTTTACTTACCATATGCTTTGCCTCCCTTGATTTTTTTAACTGTTTTTTTTTTTACTGTTGTGATTTACTTTCATC